GTCAAGACGTCTCCACCAGACACACAATGGCAATTGTGTGACCCTCTTTCTTTTTAGTATTTACAACCAGTTGAGAACCTTCCACTGCAGTCACTTTCTCTGGAGGGATAGGTACAAGTAGGACTAAAGTAACAGGGCCCCAACAGCATTCCAGACTAAAAGACTGGGGCTGGAAGAACATAAAAAGAGTGAATAAACTGTTTTATAAAAGAAAAATTTATTTTTGTCTATAAAAATAAATGGGAAGACTGAAGAATTTTAGGGGAATACTTACCAATAGATCTATTTATTCAAGTGCAAAGTAATGGTATATGAGTACTGGGCAGGTTAAGGTTACCTCCACTGAATCCAGGTGATAAAGGGATTTCCTCTCAAATGTTAACTCTAACTAACTGGTGATGGTCCTGGTAAAGCTGCACTGTCCATTAAATGGGCCACTAGTCACATGTGGCTATAAGTATTTAAATTTAAAACAAAATTTAAAATTCAGTCCTTGTTCAAGCCACATTTCAAGTGCTCACTAACCACAAGTGGCTTGTGCCTACCACAACGGACAGCCCTTATAAAGAGCAATTCCATTACTGCAAAAGTTCTATTAGACAGTGCTACCCTAGAGCATAAGTTGAAAAGCATCCTAAGATGCCATCTGGGATTAGAGAAAAGAACACCAGGATGAGGTAACTACCTCTGCTTTAGGTCACATTTTTGTATGTTTTTCTCTCTGTTGAATTCCAGCCGTCTAGAGTAATACCTAGCACATAGTGAGTGCTCAATAAATATTTAAATTTGCTATTATCCTTTTAAGAACGCTATGTATTCCATTATCCCAACATACAAATTCAAAATGAGCTAAAAGCTCTTTACGTATGTGCCAACCATTAAAAAAACTCCCTCTGACACTTTAAATTGAAAGGCAAAGATTAATAAACATTGCAAGAAGCACAATTTTCTGGGCAGAAAGCTTTAAAAGGGATAAAATCTGTGAACATTGTGCTCAATGTACAGTCCAAAGAACTTTCTGCACAGATTCCACGGTTTTTTGCTGCCCTTGGCATCCTTGTCCTACTGACCTGTTAATGGTATCCAGGTACGGGCAGTGGCGGCTCCTCCGGTCTTCGGAATCCACGCGGCCATTCTTTGCTGAAAGGAAAATCATCACAGGCTGTGAAAATGTGAAACTCACACTCAGGGTCAACTACTAGTACAAACAAAGAAACGTAGAAGTGGGAAAAACTAATCAAGATGAGCTCCTATAAAGGTGGCCTGGCAACACCAAAAAAAAGCCCACCAATAGAACAAGCCACAAACTCTAAGAATATATGTGAAACACATATAACCAACAAAGGATTCATTTGCAGATTACATAAATAAATCTGGTGAAGCAATAAGAAAAAGACAAACAGCCCAATAGAAAATGATGAATACAGCCCACAAAGATGCTCAACCTCATCAATATTCAAGAAAATGCAAATTTCCTTGCACAGTGATGTACCACTTCACACCTACCAGAGAGGGAAAAAAAAATCTGAAAATTCCAAGTGAATATGTGGAGCAATGAGAATGCTCATGTACAGCTGGTGGGAGTATAAACTTGGAAAATAGTACAGCAGAATCAAAGCTGAAAATATGCAGACCCTCTGACCCAGCAATCTCTCTTCTATTTATATACCCTAGAGAAATTTTTGCACATGTGCACCAAGAGTGCTTTACTAAAAAATATTTATAGCAGCAATACGTGAAAGGGCCCAAACTGGAAACAACCCAAATGTCTGCCACAAATAAAATGGAGAAATAGATTTTGGTGTATCATTAATGGAACACTATGTAGCCATGAATATCCACCTGGATGAACCTCACAAATATGCCTAGTTAAAAAAAAAAAAGGCAAATCAGAAGACTACATACAATACGACTCCATTTATATCAAATACAAAATAAAACAGTGTAACTTAAGGATACATATATGAAATAAAACTATAAATAAAAGTAGAAATGATTAGAAAAAAATTCAGAACAGTGATTACCTAAGCAAGGAAGGAAGGCAAGCACAACTGGGAAGGGGCCTATGGGAGCTTCTAAGGTACTGACTCTGTACCACTTCTTAGGCTGAACAGTGTTAGGAGGCAATTCTCCATGGGTTTCCCATGTTTCTGTACATATTGTGACCAGAGGCACTGACTGTCTCCAGACTATCTTGTCAAGGATGTCTGTATAGTGAACAGCCTTGGAAGACAGAGATAGTGTCTTCCTACAGAGCAAATGAGAGGCAAACTCACAGCCCATTATAAAAGATTCAGGTTCTCTAAGTTCAGAGTTCCTCTCCTGTAAGGCCACCCATGGTGTGTATGGTTCTCTTCATGTTGTACTGTGGGAACTAACTCGGGAACTGACACCAATGCTATTCTGGTTATTGCTGCAATAAACTGTCTCAGACCCAATAGTCCCATGTCTTACATCAGCATCCACGACACTGTGGCAAGCTAACTTGGTAGTTTCACACAGGGTAAAATCTCAGATCCTTCACAATTCTTGACAAGTGTTAGATGTACATCCACTCTCTTCTTTAAACTGTACTTATACATTATCACATTCAGTATATCTTAGTACCTGCGATCTATTTCACAATAGAAATAAAAGGAAAAAAACAAGACAAGACAGTAACAGCAACTGGGATCCTAGGGTGTCCCAGAGAAAACAATCCTTACCAAAACTATGCAAAATATCTAAGAAACAATTTCTCTACCAAAGAAAGGGAAAACTGAGGCTGCAGAGTATTTAAGTAAAGGAAATCAGAGAATACCCTGAAATTATCAACTAGATTATTCAAAAATATTTATCAAGTACGTTCTATGAGCAAGGTGCTATTCTGGACCCTGAGTGTAATACAAAAATATGTCAAACACAAGACCCTGAGCAAGAAACTTAAGAGCTAATATAAGAGTATAATCATATACAAGTAACCAGGACCAGAGGCAGAATTATAAAGTCTTGGAGAATGAGGACCCCTCCCTCCACAAACCCTGCCCCCAGCAGGTAGCCCAGTGACACGCTCACCTGCTACTTCAATAAGCTCTTGCTAACCCACCAAAAAGCAAGTAGCGAGGAACATGTTCAAGTCAGGAGTTCCAAGTTCAGAGAAGGAAAAGATGTAATTGGTATAAACAGAAAAAGCTTCAGAACTGGTGGAAACCTACTTAATGATTGGTAAGATATCAACAAGTTGGAAAAGCATACACTACAGACAGGGAACCAAGGCTGGGCAAAGAGGTCTCTAGAAATTACCAGGAGAAGCAGAAAAAACCCAGGAAGGAAGCAAAGGATGCAGTCACGGAGGGGAGTGACAGCTTTACTGGCCATTCTTAGAAGGGCTCTCAAAGGTCAAAGGTTCCAGGACTACTTGCACTAATTTACAGACGGACAGATAGGTGAAACCCACGTTCCCAAACCACAGTGACTCAGCCTCAGTGGCAGGACCAGAATCCAGATCTCCTGGCTGCTACAGCCCCGGATAACGGGGCAGTATGTTGCAGGTGCCAGCGTTCAGGCTCTCGACTCTGATCTAATTCCGGAAATTACAGCAGGACTCACTCCCAGATGTTTTGTAAAAACTGAAAAAGGTAACACCTGTAACATAAGTAGCACAGCGCCTGGGCCGAGTTAGGCATTCAATAAAGAGAAGCTGCTACCGTTATTTTTGTTGCTAGAAGTATCAAATTACGGTTATTATTAAAACTAGTACTAGCCTCACTAAAACGCAGTGGAGTCGGGACGCGGACACTGGAGTGTGACCCCCCCGGGGAGGGAAGCTGTAAAGAGAAAAAGAAGAACGAGACGTGGAGCCCGCGCCCGGCCCGGCCCCGCGCACCTCGCACCTCCCGCTCCGGCTCTGAGTCCTCGTCGGCCTCGCGCTCCCGCTTCACCCGCACCGCCGGGACGACGGGCGCCGGGGCCTCGCGCGCGCTCACCGGCTCGACCTCCCGCTTCACGCGCACCGGGCTGCCCCGGGAGCTCGGCGCTTCGGTCTCCCGCTCCCGATCTCGCTCCCGCTTGACACGACCCGAGCTGCCCCGCGACTCAGACTCCCGCTTCCCGCGGGTGGAACCACGAGACTCCCGCTTGGAGCGGCCAGACATCGCCACCACCCGCCGACGAGCCCAGCGCCGGCGCCAGGCACGCTCGAGTGCGCGGCACGCGGCCAATCAGGAGCGGCGCTGTTATCGAGACCAAGGCTCTCTACGAGTCGCCGATGGGGACAAATTATGTCGCAGGAAATTTCTGAGAAGTACTACGCCCCTTGTGGCCTTTTTGAAGCTGTGTGGGCACCTGACAACGACTTATGGGCCAGTCGTTCTTACTGCCACCTTACCCATAATTTCCGGCTTAAAGAGGCAAGAACCTTTTACTGGCTGCAGAATTTCTGGATAAAAGAAGCTGTCATGGGCCCCAGATTTCTTCAAGATCATTTGTGCCCCGAAACCAGAATTGAGAGATCGTCTCCACAGTCTCTGCGCCTCGGAGACTGACCCTTTCCAGGGGAGAACTAGGCGACATCCCCAAATCATTCCCTTCATGCAGCAACCCAGAGGCTCTAATTCCACATTTGGAGGGTTGTTCTCTGTATCACAGAAAAATGCAAACGTCGGGCAGAGCAGGACTTAACCATGAAGCTAACAAAGCTCAAATCTCAGGGCCTGTTACTTTCACGACCCTTTCCACGGCCCTGAACTACTTTGTACAATTCTACTGAGGTGTGATTGGCATACAATACACTGCACGTTTAAAGTGTGCAATTTGCTAAATACTGATGGATGGATGGATGTATACACTCTGAAACCATGGCCACGATCCAGGTATGAACCTATCCACCAGACCCAAAAGTGTCCTCCTGCCCCGACCATTGATCTGCTTAGTCGCTACAGATTAGTTTGCATTTCCTAGAGTTTTCTATAAATGGAAGCACACACAGCGTGCCCTCTTTTTTGCCTAGCCTCTTTCACTCGGCATATGTGAGACTCATCCACTTTATTGAGTGTTATCAACAGCTCGTTCCTTTTGATTGCTCAGCGATATTCCACTGTGTGGATGTACTAGTTTGTCCCTGTTCTAATCACGAATTCCTAATTTTGTCTTTTTTAAAAGAGGACTCGAAAATCGCACCCGCTCAGACCCTGAAAAGCCCTGGGTCCTCCCGCGGGGACAGTTAAGACGTAGGTCCTGTGGGCCCCGAGGCGGGCTGGGCGGCGGGACCTGGCAGTGCTCGGGCGCTGGGCGTGCTGGGAGGGGCGTCCCCGCCGCCGACAGCGCGGGGCCCCGGGGTGGGCCGGGACTGGGCCCAGAGAGCCTTCGCGGGGCTGTGCGGCCTGGGCGCCACTGTGTGCCCTACCCGAGCACTCGCCTCCTCACAACCTCTTTTGAGGTAGATGCTCTCAGTGCCCCCATTTACAAATAAAGAAACTGAGGCACAGTGGGGTTCAATAGTCAGCCGAGGTCACGCAGCTGGTGATGGAGTTTCACAGCACCCTATCACCAGAAAAAGAACGAGAAGGCTCCACGACGAACGCTGAGTATGCAATGTGTGCTTTATATTTTTCTGAATTTTTGATGTATCAGCCTAAATCCTTGTCTCCGGTTGATAAATGTCACAAAGCAAAGCAAAGCAAAGCCCCGCCCGGTGAGCTGAAGTCGCGCATGCCCCATCCGCCGATCCGCGCCCGGAACTCAGCGCGCGGGGCGCTGGGCTGGGCCGGCCCTTTCCGGGCGGGACGTCAGGGCGCGGGGTCGAGAACCGAGCGAGGGGCTGCGCGGCCTCTTCCGGCGGGACGGCGGCCGTTGGGGCCGTTGGGGCCGTTGAGGCCGTTGAGGCGGCGGCGGCGGCTCTGTGCCCTGGCCCTCAGATGGAAGCGGCGCCGGATCCCGGGCCGCGGCTCTGCTGCAAGCCTGGAGGGCGGCTGGACATGAGTCACGGCTTCGTGCACCATATCCGAAGGAACCAGCTCGCCCGGTACCGCCCCGCCCCGCGCCGCCGCCCCCAGCCTGGCCCGGCCCGGCCGTCCCTGACTCCCGCCCGGCTCCCCGCAGGGACGACTACGACAAGAAGGTGAAGCAGGCGGCCAAGGAGAAGGCGAGGAGGCGGCACACGCCCGCGCCGACGCGGCCCCGCAAGCCCGACCTGCAGGTGTACCTGCCGCGACGCCGAGGTGAGGCCGCCCGCCCCGCCTGCCTGCGCAAGCCCGCGCGCTCTGCCGGCCCGGGCTCTCTGCCCCGACGCACTCCCTTCTCTAGAGGGAAAAACCGCTTCTTATTCCCCGAGGCTCAGTTCGTCTCGTCCCTTCCCGGGAACACCTCGACGCTCCTCAGTCTCCGCTCAGTGATGCTCTCCGCAGAACAGGGAAGGTTTATGGCCCCCACTTAAGCGTCATTGTTATAGGACACAACGGGAAGCCGGCAAGAAGTTGTGTGTCTGCCGGTTTGCCCCACCATGACTATATTTCCGTATTCCCACTACCTCACAGAGAGGAAGCCTGGCATAGTTGTAGGCGACCAGGACATAATTGTGGAATGAAGCCCAAACCCCGTAAATGGCCTTTCTCCCCAGCTTCCCTGCAACCTAGAGATCACAGTAGTTATCATATGGCGCTAAACTTGTTGAGCGTTACTTAAAAGTGCTTTTAGAGCTTATGGACGTTGATCACTTAGTTTTCATAGGACCCCATAAAATGGAAACTGTTACATTTTCTATTTCACAATTAGGAAACAGGCACAGAAAGGTTATGTAACTTGCCCAAGATCTCAGAGCTAGTAAATGGCAGAGCCTGGATTTGAACGCAGGCAGAGCTCTATCCACTTCTCCACTACTTGCCAACTGTATTCACTAGACAAATGTGCATTGTGTCCCTACTGACTGTGCTGGCCCAGGAGCAAGGATACAAGGGTCAATAAAACTCCTGATTGGTGGCACACTTCTCTCTCTCTCTCTCTCACACACACACACACACACGGGTCTGTAAGAGGATTGGGGCTTTCTTTATGTTTTCCTGTCATCTCTGTGGGCAGGGACTCCAGCAGCTTTCCCCTCTTCCCTCTCACTCTGGTTCATCCTTCCAGATATTTCTACCCACCCAAGCAACCCAGACTGTGAGGAGTCCGGTGAAAGCAGCAGTAGTGGCGGCTCCGAGCCAGAGCCTTCTGGCCATCAGCTCTTCTGCTTAGAGTATGAGGCAGACAGCGGAGAGGTCACCTCAGTTATCGTGTATCAGGTATGCCTCATGGAAACAGCTGCAGCCTGAAGGTCCTGGCCCGCGGTAGAAATCACTGCCAGACCCTGAGCCACTGTTTTCCTCAGTGCCAGTGGGAAGTGTCTGCTCCACAAAGGAGCAGAGACTGCAACTCACTCCCATCACACAGTGATTCTCAGTGGGCAACAGGTAGGGCTCTTGGCCCCCAGATGAGAGTCACTATTACAGGGGACACCTGGGAAATGACAGGCACTGGCAAGAAGCCGTGAGTCAAAGGAAATTCTCTGAGAGTGTTCTCTAGGGACAGGGCAGGTCGCCTTTCCAGAAGAGGCCGGGCCCTGAGCTTCCTGACTCTTCCTCCACGTAGGACGATGATCCAGAAAGGGTGAGTGAGGAGGTATCAACACACACGCCTCTGGATCCACCCATGCGAGAGGCCCTCAAGTTGCGTGTCCAGGAGGAGATTGCAAAGCGCCAGAGCCGACACTGACCAGGCTGAAGGCATTCTCTCCAGGCTGGATTCACTGCCCAGGGAGCTCACCCCTAGTTTGGGGGGTACCAGGACCAGTCTGGGCTGATCTTGAGACCCCCTCAGAGCTGCCACATCCACAGGAAAAGGGTGTTGCAGGGACTATGCCTGGCCACCTCCCTTGTAGCTATTCTTGTATGTTGGCCCATTTGACCAGCCTAATAATTCTGGAATTTTTTGAGAATTCTCTTTGGCTAGCTTGGTGTTCTGGAAGCAGAGATTCCAGGGAGAGCTGAGTTTTATGGAGCATTGTGCCAACATGCTGCTTTCTCAGTGAGGTCATATGCCGTGGGACACCTGGCCGCTGCTGCTCCACCCGGCTCCCCGAGCCATGTTTATTTTATGGCTTCTTTCTTCTGTGCTTCTGCTCACTTCTATGTTTCCCTAGTTCTTTTTTTCAGCTCTGTTTCTTTGTTCTTTCCTTTCCCTCCTCTTTTTGTCTCAGAATCCATCAGTTCTACCCCACCCCCCACTTCCCAATATGACTGTGTACCTCCAGCCACTCAGGACTTTGGAGGTAGGGGGTTCTGGGAATCTACCTTTCTCACAAGCTCTCCCACTAATTCTGATACCAATCAAGTGGGAGAGCTTCATTTTTGAGGCGTACTTGCAAGCATGTCTCCCTCCCCTTCCATGGCTTTTGCAAGTTTTTCTCATGCTGATCTGCTGTGCCCTGTCCAAATAAGGAGACCTAGGAAGATGATGCCAGATTTCTTACAGCAAAACCTGCCTTGGTTAGGGCTACAGAACTCCAGCTTTTAACCTCATCCCTAGTTGTGAACAGACCATCCTCTGCTCAGACTAAAGGGAATTATCAAAACAAGCTCAAAACTAACTCTCCAAATGTGATTTAACACTATTGAATATACATACAAGGGAATTCAATATTAGCAGTAATTGCCTATGTGGAGTCTAGTTGCCAAAAAGGAAAAAAAAAGGGGCCCAAACAATGCCCCAGAGAGAGTGCAATGAGCCTCTCTCATTTGCCCTTCCCGTCCCCCATGCTTTCTCCTTTCCTGCCTCTCAAGAGTATACAAACTGAGATCCTTAGAACAAAGATCCCCAGGAATATCACTGCTTTCACCTAAGTGAACATTTTTCCTAGTGCAGAGTTAGGTTAAGGTCTGAGAAGTCTGCAAGACATCCTGCACACTAAAGTTCCAAGCCATTTCAGTTTTCCAGCAAATCGGCCCGACCTCATTGACTTGAAGTATAGGGTTTAAGTGAGCCTGTGAGCACTGAGACCTCTTGAAACCAAAGTCCCCCTGCCCCGGGGGTTTCTCCACATCAGGGTCTAAAGATCAGTCTGGCTGTTCCATCTCAGCAGCTTTTCTCTTAAAGGACAGCTGAGGACACTGTTGGTTTGTGCCTTACACTTGAAAATCTACCACCTCAGATATGAGGCAAGGCAGCTACTTAAACTACATCATTAAAATGCAGCAAGTCACTGCTTTGCAGTGCCAGTAGGATGCTGGAAGGTGAGTGAGATGGGTAAGTTAGAAGGGCCTGGCTGTGAAGGCATCCAGGACCAGAGTGCCCCTGACCCACAGAGCTGGCCCAAGGTTAAATGCCTTAAACTTGCCAGTCTTAGACTCAGTTTCCTTTCAAAAGAGAAAAAGTCTGCCCTCTACTTACTCAGAGAAGTGCCTTTTGACTTATAATGTTAACTACCCTCCAGAGCCTTCTGGGTAAAGGAGGCTATGCCATACTTCATCCCCAATCTTCCTGCAGCTCAGAGGACCAGTCATTTTAGTCTTCCAGCTCTTCAACTGATCTTCTGACTTGGACATAGGATTTCACTGGAACTCTCAGGCATCCTAGTCTGGCAATACTTTTTGGGTCCGTCTTCTCACAGCTGGCTGGCCTGTTTCCTGGATTTATTATAGAATTTAGAGACAAGACCAGAAGACAAGGTTGAGGACATGGCACCTGAAACTTTAGTCTCCCTTCCTGTTTTGTGAGAAAGGAAATGTGTGCCTATTGTGTACTTTTATGTGTTTGTCATGTAATCCTCACACTCAGGTAAGAGACTGATGGGAACTCCTTGCTTGTAAACTTTTTTTGTTGAGGCACTTTGCTTATCAGGTGCATATAAAATATTTTCCTCCTAAGAAAGCATTCTAATTCTTAGCTAATTTAGGCAGTATGACTATATAAAGCATTAAGCCTGGTATTTAAATGAGAGGTTGTCCTTTAGAGTAGGAGGCCTGTCGATGACACTGCCATTGCTCCAGGCATGCCTGAAATACTTCTCTGGTGATGGCCCTCAGCCAGTTGACACTCTTAGAGCTCATGCTGATTGCTTATTGCCACCCCTCATCTGGGGTCCAGGATGGTAACTATCCAATTTATTCACCAAACTTGCCTCCAGACATCATCCAGCTGTTTTCAAAAACTGGTGCTTTGCCATCAAGGAGCATGTTCCAGACCATTTCCCGCAGGCTCTAGAGATGTCCCACAGAGGACTCTCCCATGTTGTTTGAGGCAGTGGCAACAGAGTTGGACCAGCTGGAGCTTTCCAGCAGGCTGCTTCAGAATCAACACTCATTTGACTAGATACATTCTTGGCTATCTAAAAAAAAAGTCTGGTAGCCTGATAGACATATCTCACGCCCATCCAAAATGAAGTGTTCTTCGCTTATTGAGGGTAAGCCTTGGATTTTAAGGCTTTGTGTTGCCTGGGCCACAACAGATGGTGGTACAAATAGAAGGAAGCTGGGGTTTGCAGGGGCTTTGGGCTGTGCAAGAGTAAACACTTGAGTTCCAACCAGTTGGCAAGCATGGAAATCTTTGAAGAATGTAATGCAAGAAGAGAAAAGAATGTAAAGGTTTTTGTACTGAGTGAGAATGGGAGCCTGTGGAGCCTGGCCAGCCAGCAGGACCAGTGTGGGCAACAAGAAGTGCTTCTCCCTGTGGACGAGCCTCTGAAAGGGACATTCCTCTCCATGGTCCACTCTGAGGGGCACTGCCTACTAAAGATTAGCCCATGGAGCTAGAAGAAACCCTTTGGGGTAGTATCAAACGTGCTGTGCATTTGACAGGATCCCTGGATGGTAGTGTAGTGGATTCCCACCTGCTTCACAAATGTAAATGAGGCCTTTGCATATAGAAAGAGGAATGAGGATAGATTACTTTCCTACCTCTGAGCCTTGTTTTGGGAGAATCACCATGGAATCTTGACAGTTATTTGGAACACTTATGCTCCCTCATTGAATTCCTATCCTGTCCCTGAGGAATCTGATGGCCAAGAAGCCATAGGCACCCACCACAAATTTCCTTAGTAGTTGGAGTGATGCTAGAAATGAAAACCTTCCAAGTGAATGGCTCCTCTGCCTTCTCAGAGCCGCCAGAATGAGACACTGGTTGCACTGGTTATCTTGTGATGTTACGTGTATAAAAAGCCATACATTCTGTTTTCTCATTTCCAATGTTTCTGCTGAGTGGATGAATGAAGTGTGCAAATTATTTGAAAATCCTGGAAGGAAGTTACTTTTCAAATACAGTATTCTTTTTAACCAATAAACTTAACTATTTTTACAACACTGTTTTTGCCAAGAGTTGTGAAATCACTTGTGTACATATGAGAAGTGAAGATTAAATGCCTGACCTAAAGTCATTCAGCACTTAAATCTCATCTTTTACTTTGCCTGTTTTAAGAACTGTCCTGGAGCATAACAACTAGACACACGTAGCATTAGAGCTGGAAGAGACTTTTTTTTTTTTTCAATTTTTTTTTTTTTAATTTTAGTTATTTATTTTATTTTTCCCCCAGAGACCCAGTAGATAGTTGTATGTCATAGCTGCACATCCTTCTAGTTGCTGTATGTGGGACGTGGCCTCAGCATGGCCGGAGAAGTAGTGCGTCGGTGCGCGCCTGGGATCGGAACTCGGGCCGCCAGCAGCAGAGCGCGCACACTTAACCGCTAAACCATGGGGCTGGCCCTGGAAGAGAGTTTTAAAGATATATGGTCCTACTTCTTACCTGATATGCAACTCCCCTTACCAACTACCTAGGAAGAGCCCTTCTGTCATAGGGAGCTCTATCTTGGGGTAATTCTATTTGAGAGACTATTCAGATTGTCATATTAAGCCAAAATCTGCCTCGTCACAGTTCTGGAGTGTTTGTCTTACCCCCTACCGTGTTAGAACAGCTAGTTTAGAACCGAAGTAGTCCTCTCAGGCCTTCCCTGTGGTAATGGTTGGAAGGGAACTCAAACCCAGCTCAACAGAATATAGTAAAATTAAGAATCACAAAGCTGGGCCGGCCCTGTGGCTTAGCGGTTAAGTGCGCGCTCTGCTGCTGGCGGCCGGGTTTGGATCCCGGGCGCAGCACCGACACACTGCTTCTCCGGCCATGCTGCGGCTGCGTCCCACATACAGCAACTAGAAGGATGTGCAACTATGACATACAACTATCTACTGGGGCTTTGGGGGGCGGGGGGAAGAATCACAAAGCTTTCAATGAAGTAGGAAATGCTGCAAGTTCACAGCACCATTGGGCAGATGAGAAAAAGGTGCCTGCTCCAATGGGAACACACCTGGCCAGGAATATGGTGCATCTCTGAGTTAGAAAGAGGTACCCCTTTGTCCTGGGGCACAGAGCATGTCCAGTAGAAAGTGGACTGGATCTTATACCCCACTGGTCCATTCAGCCAGGTACTCCTGTACAGTGATCACAGCACAGCCATATTTCTTGGCCTTGCTTTAACTACTTGTCCTGATGTGATTTGGAAAAGGGCTCTCTGATGGGTTTCTGTTTTCATTTCTACCTTCCACTGGGTCCAAAAAGGTTTCTCGGGCTGGCCCAATGTCATAGTGGTTAAGTTCACACACTCCGCTTTGGCGGCCTGGGGTTTGTGGGATCGGATCCCAGGTGTGGACCTACACACCCTTCATCAAGCCATGCTGTGGTGGCATCCCACGTAAAAAAACGGGAAGATTGGCACAGATGTTAGCTCAGGGACAGTCTTCCTCACCAAAAAGTTTTCTCCCTCTTCAAGCCACTGTCCAGTTTATCTGCTCTGTCTCCCCCCAGTACAGGGCCTTGTTTCTGCACATTACCTTTGCGTCACCAATGCTGCCGAACTTAAGCTCCCCAGCTCCTGGCAGCCTGGGCCCATGCTCCCTTCAGGTAATCTGTCGGCCTGAGTGTTGTCTCATAAGGGCTCCACAGGGCTGCCTTTTAGAGTGACAGGCGTGCTTCTGGTATGTGAAAGGATGTATTCCTGTCCTTTTAATCTGAAAGGAATGCCCAGGAGGGCATTCTTGGACTGTAAGTTTTGGTGAAGATGGTGGGTAATTTATTCCTGTACTATTCTGTTTCCTTTTTCCAAATTGCCCTGGGTCTCCCACCTTCCTCTCCTCTCTTTTGCTCACCAATACCTGGCCACGTGTGTCTACTTGGAATGGATATCCATTGGTCTCTGCGGCCTTGCTTCAGGTAAGTGTTCAGCAGTCAGGAAACATGTTTTGAACACTGACTTCCGGACAGTACTCTGTGTACTTGCACCCTTGAAAATAAAAAGTATCTGACAAAAGTAGCCCTCCTCCAGTGTTTGCTGAGCGGAGGGAAGCATAAGCCAAATCTAGGGCGCTAGAATTTCTTAAGGAACAGCCAAGGTTTTGTGCTCACTTCTCTGCGGACCCGCCTCGCCTTGGGCAGAGGCAGGCACCGGGCGCCACACTGAGGGAAGGTCCCCGAAGTCTCACTGTGGGCCGGCGGGTCCAGGCTGCCAACTGCGCCCAGCGGCAGAGGGAGGCTTCCTCCAGCCACGTGCATGATGACAATCACAGGTGGAGCTGGAGAGCTGTGCAGCCCCCGGAGCTTCCCGCCTCCCGAAGATTCCACCGCAGGAACAGGGCAAACGAGACTATCCTTTTGGCATCTCGGTGTCAGAGCCTTCTCTCGCGTCCCACGCCGTAGCCCTCGGCGCCCGGGTCCCCAGAAGTTGGGGCGCCGCCCACGTTTCCACCGTGACGCGGGCGCGGGGGCTCGGGAGTTGTAGTCTCGGGCAGGGCGCGGGCGCCGGGGCCGGGGCCGCGCGGACTCCACGTCCCGGCGGGCGGCGCGGCGCTGCCGGGGGCGCCGGGGGCGGGGCCGCTCGGCCCTTTAAACCTTTCAGGGCTGCTCCGAGGGCCGCAGCTGGAGACGGCGCCACGCGGGGGTCGAGCAGAGCACGGCGGCGGCCGCGGGGCGCTCCGGGGAGGTGCGTACTGGGGACCCCTTCGTTTCCCGGGACCTCCAGGAATCATTCGTGTCCGCGGATCCCGGCCGCGGGCTCCAAGCGCCCACGCGGGCGGGCGCCGGGCTGGGCTTCCCGCGTGAACTCGCCTGTTCCCTGGGGCGCCGGTGGTCAGGTGGTTGCCTGCGCGTGGCCGCCCCTCCACCGGGGCCCCAGACACCCTCCCAGGCTTTCCTTGGCATGGGCCCCTTGACTGTCCTAACTCCAGCCCCTTTCCTAGCCCGGGTCTCTCAGGCGAGGGGCGGTGACTCCCTTCCCAGAAGTGATGGCCCCGCCTGAGTCTCTGAGCACGCCGATGGCATTTCGGTGGAACACGGAGGCCCCCGGTGGATGCCAGAGGGTGTCCACGTTCTGGCGGGGCTCAGCCCAAAGTGTGGGCGCTCAGAGCCCCAGCGGGAGCTCTGAATCAGTTGTTGACCACCTTCCTCTGCCCCCCACCGGCTTTGGCCAGTCACTGGACCCTGGACTTTGACCTGTCTCTCTCCACCAGGCCCTGGCAGCTGATGATTTTGGTGAAGTATCTGAAGGTAGCCGGGCCGGCCCCCTCTTCCCCACCTACCTCTTATCCTCCCCCCCACACCACCACCACCCTGGCTCCCCTCCCTCATGACCGCCTGGATCCTCCTTCCTGTCAGTCTGTCAGCATTCTCCATCACTGGCCTATGGACTGTGTGAGTAATGAGGGGGAGAGGGAGGACAACTAGGGGACAAAATGGTCCCAGGCTGAGGAGGGACAGGGCCCAGCCAGGACCTAACAGGAGCTTGACGACACAGAAAAAGTCCCTTGTCCTGTTGCAGGCTCTGGGGTGGTACCCAGGGTCAGTCTGTCTGTCTCCAAAGCCTGGCCTGGTGCCTGGGCACACAGCCCCTTGGGACAAGCTGGCACCACTGCTGTCCAGCAGGGTGGTCCTAACAGACGTACTCTTAGCCAGGGCAACTTCCAGAGGTCCTCTAGTTTGGGGCCATGCTGTGGGTCAATGTCAAGCCTCAGGGCCACACCAACCTGAGTCCCCAGCAAGGACAATGAGGCTGAATGGGGCCAGAATTAAGGGAGAAGAGTCAGTGGGGGAAGGCTGGGCTGGGAGGGTCATGAGGGTGGGGTGACAGTTCTGCTCCCACAGGTATGCCATGGCCGTGATGAACCGCCACGTATGCCCCGTGGAGAACTGGTATGGCGCACTCTGCAGACAGCCTCACTCTAAAGCTCCCTTCATCTCTGTTCCCTCTTGGGCCGGGGCTACCGCGAGCCAAAGGGTAGCCCTGAGACCCTGGGCCTCACTGCTCTTCTCTGACATTGGCAGCGCCTGCCCCTCCCCAGGCATGGCTTCGTGCCCCTCTACCTGCTTACTACCATCCTTTCACCCCTTTGGCTTCTGTCTCAGGCAGGCCCTGGGAAGTGGGCTCTTCTGCCCCTACCAAGGGAGATCTGGGAGGGTGGTCTCTGAGAGGCCTAAGGCTACAGGCTGAATGCCTGGGGAACCCCATTCCCCCAGTCTATTCTCTGTCCTGCCTACCAGGTCCTACAACGAGTCCTGCTTTCCTGACCCCACTGAGCAAGGGGGTCCCAAGACCTGCTGCACCCTGGACGATGTCCCCCTCATCAGGTAAGGCCTGGAAACTGGGCAGGTCAGGGAGACCCAAGGCCCTGCTAGACTCCCAGCCAAGTCCCTGGGTCTCAGGAATAATTATATTAAGAGCACTTAATAACAATACTACTTGCCAATTACTATGTGCCAGGCACTATGCTCAACGCTTTACATGCGTAATGTCATTTAATCCTCCCAGCATTGAGGCAGTGATTGTTTTCACCATTTTATAGGCAAGGAAACAGACTGAGTTATGTCATGCATCCAGGTCACACAGCTAGTAAGTGGAGGCACCTGGATTTAAGTTCAAGCCCTCTGATTGCCCAGCCCAAGTTCTCGCTCAAGGAAAGCCAGACGAGCTGCAGGCCTTGACAGTCTCAGGGAGTCCAAGGAGTCTTGGGGTCTGCTGAGCAATCCTGGGCACTCCCTTACCTGTCACATATATAAGCTCTGCTTTGGGGGGCCCCAGCCTGGGGCCAGTTGTTTGTGAGGGACACTGACCCTTCTCATAAATCAGTGGCTTGCCTGCTAGGGAACAGGGACAATAAAGCAAGAGAGAGCAGGTGGGCCAGAATGGGGGCCCTCTGGTGCTCCTGCCCCCTCTCACTCTGCCCTTGCCCCCCCTCCTCGCAGCAAGTGCGGCACATACCCCCCAGAGAGCTGCCTCTTCAGCCTCATTGGCAACTTGGGTGCTTTCATGGGTGAGTTGTGCCCTCAGCCCCGCTAGCCAGCCCAGTCCAGCCCACCCCCACACCCCCACCCCAGAAAGGCCCAGGAAGCCCTTGCATAGTGCAGCCCACCCCACCAAGGGCTAAGGCAAGCGGGGCCACTTCTCTCCAAAGGCTGACTCACACAGCCATCCTGCCGGCTGGAGCCTGAGGAAACCCAGTTCACCACCCGCCCATCTATTCCCTTCCGGCCCTCAGAGTGTTTGGGGGGAAGCTGGCGGGCTTGCTGGGCTGGAGGAAGGCGCCAGTGCTGGCCCCACCCATGCTGTCCTCCCCCAGTGGCCCTGATCTGCCTCCTGCGCTACGGGCAGCTTCTGGAGCAGAGTCGTCATTCCTGGGTTAACACAACAACGCTCATCACAGGCTGCACCAATGCTGCAGGCCTTCTGGTGGTCGGCAACTTCCAGGTGCGCCTGCCTGCCCACCTCTTGAACTTCCCCTAACAGGCCCTGCCTGTCTGCATGGGGTCTCAGTCTCCTGATAGTTGACCCAAGCTGTAGGGGCAGCCCCTCAAGGTTGGGGGTGGGGGGAGGAGGTTCTGGGAGGGAAAGGGGGGAGAAGGGAGGAAGAGGGACAGAGAGGAGGTGTGAAGGGGGATGGAGAGGTGGGGCTGCTTCACGAATCAGTTCCTCTCTCTGGGCCTAGGTGGATCACGCTAAGTCTCTGCACTACGTCGGAACTGGTGTGGCCTTTTCCGCCGGGCTGCTCTTTGTCTGCCTGCACTGTGCCCTGTCCTACCATGGGGCCACCGCCCCCCAGGACCTGGCTATGGCCTACCTGCGGATTGTGCTGGCAGCCATTGCCTTTGTCACACTGATCCTCAGTATCCTTCCAGGTCAGGGAAGCCAGTAACTCATCTTCTAGCCTAGCCCTTTGCTCACCCAAGACGAGGTGGGGAGGATGGCACACCTTCCAGATAACATTGCCCAGTATGGTCTTCTGCTCCCCCTCCCAGGAGGTGAGGCGCAATCCTTTGCCCCAACCTAGTTATATATCTGGGAAGGCAGAAGGGGTGTCGCCAGGCTCCCACCCATCCTACGGAACATTTCCTTAGCCTCATTCCAGGTGGTGTCTTCTTTATCCACGAGAGTTCTCACCTGCAGCACGGGGCAGCCCTGTGCGAGTGGGTGTTTGTCATCGACATCCTCATTTTCTATGGCACCTTCAGCTATGAGTTTGGGGCAGTCTCCTCTGAGACGGTGGTGGCTGCATTGCAGCCTGCCCCTGGCCGGGCGTGCAAGTCCTCCGGGAGCAGTAGCACCTCCACTCACCTCAACTGTGCCCCTGAGAGCATCGCCATGATCTGAGGTCTGGGGAGGGTGGCTGGCCAGGCCTCCACAGCTGCCCGCCCCATATCTTCTTTGCATTTATTTTGTACCAAAAATGATTTTAAGAAAGTATTCTGTTGGGATATAAGCTTCCTCACTCCTGAAGGAGTGGCCATCCCACATCCACCTGTGCCATAGAGGAGCGGACCCTGGCAGCTGCCTGAGCTGCACACAACCCACTTCCCCACTCTGCAGTGTTGTTTTTATGTTTAAAGGTCACGTATCCTCATTCACCCAGCCAGCCCTTCAGGTGCCTTCTACTCCCCAGTGCTGAGGCCAGACCACTGGGGTTTCCTGCGGCAGGAATTGGGGGCTGGGAACAGCAAGAGGGATAGAAGTTGGGGGGTGGGGGGCTGTGAGCACATCTTAGTTGTGGGAAGGCCCACTTCTGGGCCCACTGAGTTGGACTGGGATTCTTCACTCTGCCCCTTACTTTCTTTAGGGCAAATAACACAGCAGAACCTGGATATTTTAGTACTTTTTTTTTTTATATCTATTAAAAGAATTCTAATTTGCATGTTTGTAGTCTGTTCTGGAGAGTCAGAGAGGGCCTGATCAAGCATGGCTTTCCCTAGGCAAAGGATGGGAGGAGGCCCCTGCCCCAGGGAGAGTCTTGACTGCCCAGTGCTCTTCGAGAGCAGGGCTGCCAAGAACAAAGATGCCAAGTGCTATCCAAATACCCCACCAGGGCGGGAAACCCTTTCTGGGCCTTTAAACAGTCTAAAGAACTGATCTGGTCTCATCACTTCACATTTCCTTCCCCTGTTCAGAGTCCAGTTTGAAGTTTGATTCCTTAGTAGGGCATATGGGAGGGTGGGAGGGATGCAGGGAGCAACTTAAAAATATTAAAAGCAATTTTCACAGTGGAGCTAAAGGAAGCACCTGGGATTCCAAGGTTGACTAAAAATTGCAGGGGGCAGCGGATGCAGGCTAGTTTATCTTTACCATCTTTAAGTAGCTACTGGCTGCCAGACCCTGACACATTTTGCTTTCCAGCCACAGACACACAGGCCCAAGCCCTGGATGATCCAGTGGCCAGGTTCTTGACTTGGGCTCCACTGCCCTCATGGCAGCAGGCTTGGCAGGGAGGGATATGCAGCCTGCTGCCTTCTGTGGTTCAGGACCCCCTTCCTCAATAGCAGTAGGGACCTAGTAGAGAGTGCAGAGCCCCTGCCTAGGCCTGTGAGCAACGCAGCCACAGGGTGGGTAAAGAAACCTTTAATGAGGAATTGAGGTGCAACAGGAAGATGTTGTGGAGGACGGGTGCTCAGCCCCAGCCATCTCATGTGTACATGGCTCCATGCAGGTTCTCAAGTCGGTGCTTCTGCTGCTGCTTGCGAGCCTAAAGGAAAGAGGGCATGCTGGGAAGGGGCCATACCTGAAGGCCTGTGGGTGAAGGGATGGGGCAGGCTCCTACTGTTTTCAGGCCCCTAGCATCTGCACTGCCAAGACTCTTGCCCCTCACCAAAGTCACTGGGAAGGCAGCCAGAACCTGGGACCCTAAGGCCTATCCCAAGCCTGCTGAGGTGCGGAATGAGAGCATTGAGGACAGGGGCTGAGGGAGCCCCATCACCACCCCCTCCACTTACCCCAAGCCCCTACCTTATCTCGTCTGTGCTCCTCATAAGTGTCATCATCAGTGGGCAGTTCATGGCGGCACAGGGGGCAGGAATTTGTCTGTGAAAAGCAGGGCAGTGTTCCAGCCGGGGTCTGGTCTCCATAAGCTAATATCCGTCTCCTGCTCCAAAACTCCCACCCCTACCCCTCTCCCTTCTCTGATCCCCCAACAGTCCATCAACAGAAAGAGGCTTGAGAACTGGGCCCAGCATAAGGTGAGGGCTTGGAGAAAGGAAGCAGTACCTTGCTTAGCCAGGGCAGAATGCAGTTGGAATGGAAGAGGTGATGGCAAGGCATCTCAATGGCAGTCTCCTCCTCCTCAAATTCCAAAAGACACACGGGACACTTGAGCTCTTTAGGAGGGAGTGCTGATCAGGAGAGCTGCTACAGGCCCTACCTCCCAGCTCCCACTCCTGAAGGACACTCCTGCCCCAACCTGGCCTGGAAAACTGAAGGGTCAGACTACAGTCTGGCTTGGGGAGGAAATGGGTCTGGCTGACCTGCCCCAAACAGTGGAAAGAATTAGTGTTCTCACCAGCCTGAGAGCCCCTGATGACTGTCCTAGGGAGGTTCTCAACTACAGTCTTAGCAGCAGGTGGAGGCAGGTGGTGATCCCAGTCTACAACCAATCCCAAGTCTTCAAAGTCCATCCTATTGAAAAGTGACCTGGGAAGAAGGATGCAAGATCAGAACGAAAGAAAATCATACCTTCTCCTTGCTCTCACAATCCACTAGGCATTCACAGATAAATACTCTGCCCAGCTAGTAGTAATCATAGCTACCCCTCATTAGTGCTCACTAGATAAAAAGAAGTGGGAAATGATTTACTCCTACTATCAGACAACCCCAAGCACGCAGGCCGTTTATTCTCGTTTTATACGAGGCAACAGGCTCAGAGAAGTTAATCAGGCCACGCAGGAATGACCTGGTAAAGCGAGCTTCCAGGTGGCAGTGTCGACTTCCGTTCTTGGAGTTCTTAATGAATGCACCTACTCACACTCACAAGCCCCTACCCCGCCTCCATGACCTGCCTTCTCCCATACCTCCTAGAGCCCGCTGCCTCCCGCCCCTGACTCCCCCTACTCTCCGGCTCCAGTCTTTCCCAAAATCCCCTTGCCCCGGCCCGCCCACGGATGATCCAAATTATCGACCTCCCCCGGAATCTCGCCGCCGGACTAACACCCCAGACTATTCATCCGTCCTCCCCAGAATCCGCTGCCCCAGATAATCCGGCTTCTCCAGCCAGCCCAGCCCAGAAACCTGCTGCCTGGGCCCCACCTCCCAGCCCCGCGCACCCACCTTGCAAGCTCCAGCAGCATGTTGGTTCGAGCCTCCTGCTCGGGGTCCAACGGCTCGCAGTCGTGTTCTTCGAAATAGGACGCCATGGCAGCCGCACTGTCTGACACAGCCCTCGGACCGGCTGGACTGCGGCCTCACAGTGCTGGCCAATAAACTGGCGAGTTGGACGTGGATGACCAATCAGAGCATCCGAAAGGCGGGCACAGTGCCTCGTTAGACACACAGAAAGCGGAAGTATCAATTCTGTCGCCTCTCATTGGCTTGAATAAGTCAGGTGATCAAAGGCTAAAGCCAATGGCAGGGCCCGGGACTGGTCAGGAAGCGTTTGTTTTGGAGTCCGAGCCTGGGGCAGGTACCTGGGAGTGACGTGGGCATCGCGTCTGTAGCGCCCAGAAAAAGCCAAGTGTCTGGGCTGTAGCGGTCCTTGGTCTACTCTGCAGCTCAGGGGGCCTAGGCAATTCAGATGCTAGAGGCCTCAGAGAGAGGGAGGCGCTGGCCCAGGGGCTCAGGGTTCTGCGAGCCTAGGGGAAGAACCTGGAGTCAGGGCGCTTCCCGCTGCTCTGCCCCGGACTCCGCCGGGCACTTATGCACTCGCTGGGTTCTAGTTGGTTCAGAAGTTGGCGCTTGATTCCTCCCCGACCCCCGCAAAACAAACAAAAATGTCCTGCTGATTTCTTCTGTTAGGCACAATAATAAAGGGTGGGGCAAACCTCCTCAGCTGTCAGGGGGAAGATCCCTGCCGGGGAACCTGGGGCCTTACCTGCTCCTGGGACTGGGTGACCTTCAGCCCACTGCTCAACTTCTCCCCTAGCTTTTGTAAAACTAGTGGCTTGAATTAAATAAGTGGTTTGCATCCCTGGCTACTCATGAATCTCCTGGAGAGAGGACAGAAGGGGTTGCAGCTTTAGACAAAACCTATGTCTGATACCCTCAAAGACTCTTATTTAACTGATCTGATTTAACTGAACTGGGTGTGGTAGTTTTATAAGTTCTACAGGTGATTCCAATGTGAGGCAGGGTTGAGAACCACTGCACTAAATGATTTGGATGATAGCTACCATTTATTGGGCATCTAGAACCGTTACATAGATGGATATTTTACACATAGTATAAATAATCCTCGCAATTGGCCTGGGAGCTAAGTATCATTATCCCTTTTTACATATGTAAAACCCAAGTGCCCGAAGTGGCTTGCCCAAATTCGCACAGCCTCTAAGTGGTGTTGCTAACCAAAGGCAGGGCCAAGTGCTTTCCTCCATCTTCCCCAGGAAAGGCAGGTGGTAATGAGCCCAGCAGAAGTAACAGGATCTGTGAGGGTAAAGCTCCACACAACTCTTGGGTTCCTGTTTCTCTGTCAGTAGCCCTCACTCTCTGAAAAAAGGAAATGCTTCTGTTACACCCTTGATCCTGGATTCCCCTTCCCACCCACACGAGTTTGAGCTGGAGTGAAGCAGCCCAGGCAGAGGCTGTCCTGCTTCCACCGTCTTGGTGGGGCCTTCTTTCCTTCTTCCATGGCCTTTACCCAGGGATCTTTCTGTGGCCCTGAAGGCACTGCGTGCTTGGCCCTCTGTGGCCCTGGAGCTTTGAAAAGCCCGATTCTTTCCCACAGGGCAAATTCCAGGCCATCCTCTGTGACTCGGCATTACAGCACCGTAGAAGCCCTTCCCATTTTCATTGCTGCCTCGCATTTGGTGTAAAGCTCGATGAACATGGGCAGTGAAATTGGGGAGGAGGAGCATTCAGAGGAGGAAAAGTCTATCTAAAGGTGAGAGCCTCATGATATAAAAATCTTTGAAGTGCTTGCTTCATTGTCATGCCTTGTGGAGTCCCATTCGTTCTCTGAGCATCCCCAAGACATCAGAAAAATAATAGATTTCATTCTCAGAGAGACAGGCTCAGAGGGCACTGATTGAAGGGTCTGGTTTGGGGGCTGTTGTGTCTTTACACCTGCACTCCAGAAGGATCTGTCTGTGTAGGGGTGGATCAAGTAGGGAAGGGAGAGGAAGGGGCCACCTCCCAAAGATGGAGTCCTTTGGGTGGTAGGCTTTCTAAGCAGTCCCTCGGGTGGAGGCAGAGCAGGATGAACCAACTTGGACACCTTCAGACACACACACACACAAACTATACACCAGCTTTTAACGAAACAGCAGCTTTTACTGAGCTCCATGTGGGGCTGGCCTGGCATGGCCAGTGCAGCAGGCTGCCCTCAAAGGCCAGTTTGTGGCATGATAGGAGATGCAAAGGTGGACACATTGGGGCTGCCCTTCGGCACTCACTGGGGTGGCTCAGACGGGAGCAAACGCCGGGGTTGTCTGGAGACCAGAACCAGCCAGTGCGGTCATCCGGCCTCTCCTCCAGGCCCAGCTGGGTCAGTCCCCTGGGGTAATGCCTGTGTCCTGGGCCTGTGGGGCACTGCTGCCCTTGTGTGTGTGTGGGAGAAAGATGATCAGCAGCACAATCAGGATGATGAGCAGAAGAACGCCTACCGCCAGCGCCAAGTAACGGGTGTTCTCACATCGCTTCTTCTTGGCCAGGGCCTCAGTTGTCTTGTTGAAGTTTTCGGCCTGTGGATGCCCCCAGACACAGAGTGGGAGTTAGTGGTTCCCCCAGGGCCCCAGAGCCAGCTCCTCACAACCCCGCCCCAGCATGGCCTCGTTTCCTCCTGTATCCTCACCATCTGGTCTGCTCCTTTTCTCCATACAACCTGCCCTGGGACCCTCCCAGCCTGACTCCCGGTCTCAGGCACTGGTGTAGCACTTGACTGGCAGCCCTGTGGGCTCACTCCCAGTTAATAATGCCAGTCCTTAACCTTTAGGAAGGTCCACAGCTTCAAACCAAGAACTTCTTACTTCATGAAGCGTACCCATTGCATATCTAGGCTAGGGGTGCCTCAAGAAACCCACAGGTCCCACCCTGGCCCTCAGGCAAGCCTCAGGCCCCAGAAGGGCCCAGAGACCCTGAGCACAGCCTGAGAGCTCCCTCTGAGGGCTCCTCACAGCCTCTCCCTCCCCCTCCCCTGCTTCCCCAGGCCTCACACCTTGCCCAGGAGTTGGTGTGCACGCTGGTCCAGCTCCTCCAGATTCCCATGGCGCTCCAGGACCTTGTTGTAGTTGTTGAGCATGATTTCCGTGACCTCGTCTGCCTGCCGCTGGCACCGCTCCAACTCTTTCCCTGCCTGGGCATCAAGCCCAAGGTCAGGGCTGCATGAGGCCCCCATCTGTCCCTCGTCCTGAGACCTAGAGGCCTCTTTGCCCCCACTGTGTGTGTGTGTGTGTGTGTGTGTGTGTGTGTGTGTGTGTGTGTGCGCGCGCGCGCGCAGTGTATGAGTTGGGAAAACAACATCTTTCATACGTGCAGAGTGAAGGGCCAGCCTCCTGGCTGTGTGTGGCTCACCTTGGTCTCATAGGCTTCCTCTCCTTGCCCATCAAGGCAGGTCCTAGGTCAGCCTTGGCTTCAAGCATCTCAGCTTACTCTAAGGTGCCTCAGGATGGGACATTCCCAGGACCCCACCCTCCCACAAAGCAGACACTTTGCCCGCCTGCTCTAGGATGGCCTGTACCCAATGTGCACCTGCCCTATGGCTTCCCACTGGCCTAAGAAACAGGGAAAGCAAAGAACAGGGAACCAAGCTACTTGGCTAGAAGCCAGACAAAGAGGAGCTCCACCCCACAGAGCTAGAAAGGTAATTTTGGACCACCATACATCATAGCCTCTGCCTAACCCCACAGACACACAAAAACACAAACTGAGATCAGATTTCCCTCTTTGGGCTTCTGACTGGTCAGGCCAGTTCTGCCTCATGGCCTAACTCTACATCCACATCAATGCTCGAAGTTGATTCTCTATCTGCCGGGGAACCTCAGCCTTCCTGGCCTCTGGCCTCCAGCCTTTCAGCTAGCCAGGATCTTCACTGGGGTCCAACTCACTGAGACAAGACCAACTCCTGGATCTCCCAGCCTAGGCAGCAGCCTCACCTAACAAAAGAACCCAGCTCATTTCAGAGGACGGGGAAGGGAGGTGCAGAGTCCAAGCGGGGGGAGGTTGAGAGGACAGGAGAGAGGAAGAAAGCATGGGTCACAAGCAATAAAGGAACTGGCCTTTAGACGCATGCAACTGAAAGAGACCCAGGGCAGGAGGCCCTAGTGAGAGCTGGAGGTCCAGAAGCAGGTCCAGGGACATGTCAGGGAGATGAATACCAGTGGATTAACAAACCACAGTAACTGCCTCCTCCCAGCCTTGTCCCCCACAGCCCATCCCAGTTCTCATCTCCTCCCCACAGAGCATCGGCCAAGCTCCCTTTCCTGCCAGACTATACTGCCTATTGTCGTCAGCAGGTATTTTGGCACTTGACTGAATTCCAGTTAAAACCAGAGAAAGGGAAGGGATCTTGTGGTCACAGAGGGCCACCTACTCAGGCAACAATCCTCATTCAGGATCCTTGCAGCTGCCTTGTGCACAACCTCCAAGTATTCCCAGTATATAAGCCCTACCTCCCCAACTGGACCACAAGCTCCCAGAGGGAAGGCAGGGGCCAATGCCCTGCCTTTGTCTGCCGCCATTCCGGGGGCCCAGCTCAGTGGTGACCGTTGCACAGATTCAGTGAGTGGCTCAACTGCATTATAGCCTTTCCAAAAGCAGCTCTGATTCTCAAGAGATGTTATCCCCTTGTGTTTATCTAGCCTAGCAGGAGTTTCGAGGGGCAGGCATCTGAAACCCAAGTAGGTCAATATTTACCCATGAGCTAGAAAAGCAACCTGCTTTGAGAGGGGGCAGGCGAACCATGATAGAGGGGTGAACTCACAGGCCAGGGGAAGCAGTAACTGGGGAACAAGGAAGATTAATGAAGAGAGCAGGGAAGCTGCGCTCATCTCTACCTTTTCCTGAGTCAACCATCATCACTGCTATTGTTACTACTATATTATTCAACAAGGCTCCATTATTTGGAGCTTCTCGCATTCACACAGTCCAAGGCACCCCCACATTCAAATATTCCAAGGCAAAAACCGAGAATGGACAAAGATTCGAAAATGAGAATCACCACTAAAGACTGATGGGGCACTGGATGTTATTGTTTTCTACTCTAAATGCTACAGCTGTTGTTATCTTATTCTCCAACATGGGGTGACATTGGGTCACATTCTCCAGGAGAGCTAGCTGTGCCTCCTGCTGCAGTCTGCAGCCTCTTCCCTCACTGCAAAGCCAGGCCTGTCTGGAGCCAAGATGAGCCCAAGCCTAAAAACACACTTGATCCAGGGAACACAGAGGCCTCAGGCTCAAGTTCCTGGCCCTCCTCGGCCCCACTCAACCAGCGGAAAACGGACACTATACGCACAGGTCTCTGCTGGCACAGTGAGAAATACAGAATTATGGGTGTGGAAGGAAGTAAGCGACCAGAGGGAAAGGCCATGCTGCCTCCTGCCACAGTGAACTCAGCATAGTGCCCAGCACACAGTGGATGTGTGGACAATATTTTCTGAGTGAATTGTGCCTGTTCTTAAGAAGTCACTATAGGTTGGGGGAAAGAGACATATAAGGGACAATCAGAGAAAGTGAAGAGTTAACTGTGAGATACACATAGTGAGAGTTGGAGCTACCACAGAGAGGGGGATTCCTGAGAACTGTGATGGACAGGGTGTGAGCCCTTGATGGATGAGGTGGAACTGGGGCATTCTCGGCATAGAGAGACAGAGACACGCTCGGGACAGTGATGCAGCAGGCAGAAGGTAAGGGTGTGGGAGCATGATGGGGCCAGAGGAAGCAGTAAAAGTCAAGGAGAGGAAGCTCACTTGGAGGGAGGGATAGAGAGCTAGTGTAGGTTTCTGAGCTAAGGGCAACACTGAAGAGGTGCTTCAGGATAATTTCTCTATTGGTGGTAGACTGGCATGGATGGAAGTGAGAAAACTCAGGGCAGAGAGGCCAGCCAGAAAGGGAGGAGAAGTGCTGTCAGCAACGGTGTGAGGAGATGTCCACCAGGCTAGAGGGGGTGGGGGGTGGGGTGGGGGTGGGCACGGAGCATAGAGAGGAAGGGTGGGCAAGACAGGCACTTCCGAGCACTGCCAGGAGCCTGCAGGGCTTGAGTTTTTGAGCCGGGGGGTAGGGCAAGCAGCAGCGTCATTGGCAGACAGAGGGTGGTAGTTACACAGGAAATGTTCTTGACAGACCGTTACCCTCTGTACAGAATATTCCTCCTTTGATGCTGAAAACAAAGCTCTCAAACCCCTCCCTGTCCTAACTCCGCTGTCTCCCCTCTCTCTTGGTTAGTGCCTAAGACACCCTATTCCAGCTGTCTGGCCATCGTAGTCAGATGGCCCTGGGCAGCGACGGGGGTATCAACTCCTTCCTGGCTCAGCACTCACGTGAGCTCAGAGACTAAGAGCAGGGCTCTGCATTGCAGCCTTGGGTTCCTTGAAATCCTGCCTCTGCCACTCACCAGCTGAGTGACTGAAGACTGAGGACATGACCTTTCTGACCCTCCACTTCCTCATCTGTAAAGTGGTGACAATGATATCTACCACAGTGTTGGCTAAGGCATGTGACATATTATAAATAAAGTGCTTAGCACAATACCTGACACATACTAAATGTTCAATAAATAACAGCTATTATTATTGATGTAGCTCGTTTCCCTCGCTTTTTTTTTAGCAGTCAGATCCCAAGAACTACACAATACTTGTGGTCAATAAAACCTCTTAGATATAACAGCCAAGCAAGCTCTTCCTTATTGCAAACTTGTACACCTAATTGTTTATAACCTAAATACAGAGCTTGACACGGGCCTTTGATAACCTGCATCTAGTTTATTTTCATCAGGCACTGCAGGCTGTTGATAAGGTTCTATATCTTGACAATAATAACAGCCGCCATTCAGCACAGACTCTGACCTAAGCACTGTGCTGCTAGCTGTTTGTTTGCTTCATTTTCTTTAATCCTCACAACAATCCACTGAGGATAGTACTGTTATCCCAGTTTTATAAGAAATTGAGGCTCAGAGGGGTTAAATCCACCCGTCCAAGGTCACAGAGCCAGTGAGTAGATCTGAGGGGCTGGCCTGGTGGCACAACAGTTAAGTGCGCACGCTCTGCTTCAGCAGCCTGGGGTTCACAGGTTCGGATCCCGGGCATGCATAGATGCACCACTTGTCAAACCATGCTGGGGCAACGTCCCGTATAAAGTAGAGGAAGATGGGCACAGATGTTAGCTCAGAGCCAGTCTTCCTCAGCAAAAAAGAGGAGGATTGGCACTGGATGTTAGCTCAGGGCAAATCTTCCTCACAAAAAAAATTTTTTTTTAATTTTTTAAAAAAGGGCCTGCCTAGGGCCGGCCCTGTGGCTTGGTGGTTAAGTGCGCGCGCTGCGATGCTGGCGGCCCGGGTTCGGATCCCGGGTGCGCATCGAGGCACCACTTCTCTGTCCATCCTGAGGCCGAGTCCCACATACAGCAACTAGAAGGGTGTGCAGCTGTGACATACAACTATCTACTGGGGCTTTGGGGGCAAAAAATAAATAAAATCTTTAAAAAAAAAAAAAAAAAAAGGGCCTGCCTAGTGGTGTAGTGATTAAGTGCCCGCGCTCCACTTCTGCCTACCGGGATTCAGATACCTGGTGCGCACTGACGCACCACTTGTCAAGCCATGCTGTGGTGGCGTCCCATATAGAGTGGAGGGAGATGGGCACGGATGTTAGCCCAGGGCCAGTCTTCCTCAGCAAAAAGAAGAAGATTGGCAGATGTTACCTCAGGGCTGATCTTCCTCACAAAAAAAAAAAAAAGAAGAAGATCTGGGAATTGAACCAACATAGACTCCAAAGATCACATCCTTAACCCCTGTGCTAAACTGAATGCGGGTAGAGGTCAAATGCTTTAGCTGGCTGGTTAAAGACTCACCAAACCCTTTGATGCTGTCAACTCAACTTGTGTACATATGAGGGAGGCCCGTGGCTCAAAACCCAAATTCTTTGGACAGTGCATAAGAGGACCATCTACAAGATGAATGAATTCAAGTCAGTACCCATGCAATTTCCATCTTTGCCATCACTATTTTGTTCCTCCTGTATCCCCTATACCAGTCACCATGTATGGCACAAAGGAAATGCCCAAGAAATACTTGTTGACTGAATGAATCAGAGAAGAGGAGAAGAGAAGGGAAAGGAAGAAGAATCAGGGAGGGAAGGGGGATGGGAAAAAGGAAGGGAAAGAGCTGGGGGCAGAGACAGGGGCAGGAGGGAAAGAAGAAACAGAGGATGGGGCTAAGAGGTGGGTGGGGGAGAGAGATTAATATACCCTCCCGAGGCTCTGATCCATTATTTGCCTCAGATGAACTTGTGAGAGTCCCAGAGTTTTCCAGTACCCCCTAATAAATTCGCCTGGCCTCAGCCTTCATTTCAGGAGCTTCCTCTTCTCCCCAAGTGCTAAGGGTCAGCTGGAAGCCCACCCCTAGGCCTGCCTGATCCCTTACCCTGCACAGTGGTAAGTGGGCTCTGGGCTCATCCCATTCTTAGAGCCTCCCTAAGTTTCCTGGTGTCGCCTTAGAGCTCAGCACCACCTTCCTGCCCCACTTCCTCTTCCTGCCTCCAGTTCCCTGAAGATGAGGCCATCCAGGCATCACGACTCCTAGCCAGGCCACATCCACCACATGTCTACCAGCTTCTTCGTGGCAGCATCTTAAAGCCCCAACCCTGCTTCCTGCCAGGCCCATCTTCCCAGAGGTCCCGGAGGAGAGGGGAAGGAGAGGGGAAGCAATGGCACCACCTGTTTGTGACACCTTTGCCTTGGAGATGGCAAGTGGCGACACGGGCCAGAGTCTGAAGCAGGAGTGGGGATGACTCAACTCAGGAATGTGTCCCTAGGGATGGGTTAGGAGGAAGTCAGGCCTATGCCACACTCTGATAACTTCAGTGGAACTTTTATAGTAAACGTCTTCCTTTCTTTTTCCCCAGAGGAAGAAGTTTGCCCTCCAACACTCTGCCAAGGGGCTGGCACAGCCTCCGCCACCCCAGCTGCTCAGGTTTTCAACTCCCGGCCTGGCTTGGCTCCTCACAGCTCCAGGAAGGGCTGAAAAGGTCATCACATTACCTACCACTTTTCAGCAGCAGTTTTTGAGTGCGGGGCAGGCCTCTGCCATTAACCTCACGAAGATCCAGCAAGGCAGGCATTGCTGACCCCACTTCACATGTGCGGAAAAGGAGGCTCAGGGAGGTTAAGTGACTTGCCCCGGGTCACAGAGCTGGTAAGTGGCCACCACCAGGCTCTCAGCCTGGAGTCTGACTCCCAAACCGGTGCTCGGTGCTCATAACCACTTGGCTCAAGGAAGTGGGAAGCCCGAGTCCCGCTCACTCGGCGCGGGGCAGCCTGACCGGGCGCACTTTCCCTCCCAGGCTGCGCACCGGGAGTGGAAGGTCTGGCCGCGGTCACCTCGCCGGGGGGCGGCCAGCGCGGTCCCGGAGGACGCCCCCGCCCTCGGACTTCGGACTTCTGCCCTGCACCGGACTTCAGCCCTGCACCCACCACTCGCCCTCTGCCCCCCGCCCGGCCAGCTCCGCCCCGTCCCGGGGCCTCACCATCGCTGCTGCCGTCGTCTCGCCCGCTGCTGCCGTCGCCTCGCCCGCTCGGGCTCCTCTGCCCGCCCCAGGGCCACGGTGCCAGAGAGCCGGGAGGAAGCGGAGGGGTGGGGCGGGGGGCGGTCACGCGCCTTCCCTGAGCCGCTACCGAGACCAAGTGAAATCGAAAGCGGCGACAGCGATCGGGGTCCGTCGGGCTCCTCCTCCCCGGCCGCCGGCGCCCAGCTTCGGGTGACTCCCCAGCCTCGTGAATTGGGGGTACTCCCCAGCTGCCTGGTGCCAGATCTGCACGCTGGCCACACCTCGGGGGCCCAGTTTACGAAATGGGCACAGAGGAGTGGGCTCTGGAGCAGGCTCAGGGAGTCCTCTCTGGGGCTGCATCCAGGATCAGGTAGATCAGGTTTACCTGGGAAGGCATCATTCATTCATTCAACAAGCATCTGTATGAGCGCCATTGTGGGCACTGTGCTAGGTGCTGGAGATCCATGAACAGCCAGGTGGGGTCTTTGCCCCCTTGGTGAGTGCATCTCCCCCATAACCAAAAACAGACCCTAAAAGTTTTGAAATTAAATAAAGTTTATTGACAATAAACATTGTGAATGCACTACCTGCCACTGAATTGTACATTTTAAAATGGTCAATTGTATGTTATATGAATTTCACCTCAATTAAAAAAGAAAACAGACCCCCATGGAGAAAGTACTAGCTCTGGCTTTTCTGTACTGCCCTCTTCACCACGAGGGCAGGTGCAGCTCTGTCCTGATATGACCCTGCTCCTCCATCAGAGGTGTCTATTGCCCCTCCAGAGCCTTCCTGAGGTGAATCTACCCATCCTCATCTTCGCCTCTCACTGTTGCAGAGAAGTCACCAGCCACCTGTTCTGCACCCCACCCCATGTCACCCCCAGCATCTCAGATGTGGCGGCTCTTGAGGAAGGGGGTTGAGGGTTTCCCTCCCTGGGGTTGAGCCCCAGTGAGCACAGACCCCACCCCCACTCTGGACTATCTGGGTCCCAAAGAAGAGGTTTCACCCCAGTTCCTTGGACCTCGAGTCAAGAAGTGGATTGAGGAGAGAGAGAATGGACATAGTCATGGCAAAGACTGCCTGGAGGATCTCTTCTGTGCTTTCCTCCTCCCTCCCCAGTTTTCAGAGCATGGTTCCAGAACCTGACTTGCCAGAATGAGTCCCAAATCCTGTCTCCCAACCCTGCCCCTTCTGCACTCCCTTCCAAAAACAGGTTGTTTTCAATTCTGGAAAGCCTATGGGCGAAACGGAAACAGAGATGGCAAGAACCCTTCCCCCGAACCAAGGCAGACTGGGCACTAGAAAGAGTGACAATGACGGTGGAACCTGGTGGAGAGGAGGGAGGCCCAAAGACAGAGAGGCCCATTGTACGTGGAGGGGAAGGAAGGCCATAGGCCCTGTCCTGTGACACTGACTGTGCCCAGCCACGGGACATGGGGCAGAGATGCTCGCCCCCTCAGGACAGCCGAGAACCAGAGGCCCTGCTAAGTCCCAGAAGGGCAGGGGCAGACAAGAGACAAATAGGACTTGCAGAACCACAAGAGAAGGAAAAGCAGTCCAGTTCCCCCAACACCCCCACTCTGGACTACAACAGGGCCACAGAAGAGAGATGGCAATGACGGGAGAGGCAGCAGGCCCTTAACCAGATTCCTAAATGCTCTGTCCAGGTAGGTTTCATGTCTTGGCTAACGCTCCCAGCAGAAAAGTAATAAAGGGACATGGCAAGACCCAAGGGGGACACTTAGGAGTCTTGCATACCACCCTAAAATGCTCTGAAGGTTTTGAATTTTCCATATGCCAAGACCCCCAGAAAATTATTGTTCTTGAGACCTGTGACAATGAATGGAACAAAGAGGAATAAAGACAGACAGGGAGGTACCATCTTTCTTCTCCAAATATATGCTCTCCAACAACCTGGGCCTCAGATGGGAGAATGTCAGCCAGAGGGTGTCCTTAGAGAGAAAACAAATAGAAGGGCCAAAAGCAGACTGGAAAGGGAGGAAGTACCTCACACATGTAGGGATACTGAACGGTCTTTATTGCCCACTGGCCACCATCAGTTTCCCAGCCACAAGCTGGGTCCTCTGGGTCTCTCCAACCAACTCTGAGGACCTGTGAAATGCAGTCATAGTCCAGCTCTCTCCTTCTGGGGGGACCAAGGTGCTCCCTGGGGCAGACAGTGTGGCAGAGGGGCCTCAGAGTGAGGGGCAGGAGGACCAAGCAGTATTCCCTATGGAGAAGAGTGGGAGAGAGGGCCCCTCATGGCACCCATTAAGGTGGGTTGCCCCAAAGAGGAGGGCAGGGTGAGAGGGGCTCCCTAAGTTACTTAATGGATGACACCAGTGGCAAAGAGCACGATGAAGAGGATGATGATAGAAACAATCACGCAGATGAGGACAATCATCTTCACGTTCTTCCACCAGAACTTCCGAGCCACCTTCTGCGATGTGGTCTTGAAGTGTTCAGACTGTTGGGGATAAGGTAGAGTGACCCACGGCCTCCTGCCACCAGAACAAGAGTACAAACAGAGGCCCACATGCCATACATCTAAATAGTTAAGTGACAAGTCGAGGTAAGAGACTGTTAAATAAAAGAATGTTCTGTCCTCCTACCTTGACAAATATACCTTCATAACAATCTGGTGGGCCAGGTTCAAATTTAGAATTCTTGAGCTCCCCCTCGCCCCCTGCTTGCCCCCTTCTCTTCTTACCCTGGCACTGCCATGCACATTAAGGGGCCTTTTTCACATGCTGACACCCAAGGGTGCAACACTGGCAGCACAGTCCTCCCCTGGGAGGCAGACACTGGGGCCAAAGGGTGCAGGCTCCAAGTGGGCACATCTCCTAGGTTCCATGACTCCTTGCTCTATGGGGACTGCTGAAGCTAGAGAAGGGACCAGGGCATTATGGGGGTTGGAAGTGAGGGAAACTGCTCTTCCTCTCCCAACTCGAGTGGCAGAAATTAAGTTTCCCTGGGCCATGCTTCCCAGGTTAGGTTGTGGGAAGAAATACTAAGTCCCAGGGAGAAAAAGGAGCTCTATCCAAGATTACACAGGACCCAGAAAGCCATAGCTAGACTCTTGCCGTGAACCTGGAACCTTAGGCTCCAGCTTTTGTTGAACTTTAGAGTTACTCCCTTCCTGAGCCTCTGGCTGGAGAGAGAGAAAACTGAGATCTAGCAAGATGTGTGGGACATATTCTAGCCTTCACCTAGCAGAGGACCCCGGATCAAAGGCTTTCACGTAGCCTTTGTGATTTCCAGCTGCTTTCTCCAGCCGGCTCAGCAAGACTCTAACAGCTTTCCACCCCCAGCCTACCTAACAACTTCTGGAGCAAGCCAAAGGCCCTAGGATGATTTTCCAGAGCCAATACATATTTTTTCTTGGTGAGGAAGAGTGGCCCTAGGCTAACATCTGTTGCCAATCTTCCTCTTTTTGCTTGAGGATGATTGTCACAGAGCTAACACCTGTGCCAATCTGCCTCTATTTTGGTTTTTATTTATTTATTTATTTGTGAGGAAGATCAGCCCTGAGCTAACATCCATGCCAATCCTCCTCTTTTTGCTGAGGAAGACCAGCTCTGGGCTAACATCTATTGCCAATCCTCCTCCTTTTTTTCCCTTTTTCTCCCCAAAGCCCCAGTAGATAGTGGTATGTCATAGCTGCACATCCTTCTAGTTGCTGTATGTGGGACGCAGCCTCAGCATGGCCGGAGAAGTGGTGCATCGGTGTGCGCCCGGGATCCAAACCCAGACAGCCAGTAGCGGAGCGCACGCACTTAACCACTAAGCCATGGGGCCGGCCCCCTCTGCCTCTATTTTGTATGTGGGATGCCACCACAGCATGGCGTGATGAGCAGTGTGTAGGTCTGCGCCCAGGATCTGAACCTGTGAACCCCGGGCTGCTGAAGCAGAGTGCACAAACTTAACCACTATGCCACCGGGCCAGCCCCACCAAAGCCAATATTTTTGCCCTGGGAGGTCAGGTCTAAATGGTTGTCAAGGGCAGCCTTCAAAGGGAAAATCGGTTTCACAGGAGAGAAGCCCAAGAATGCACGGGCTGACTGAGCCATCTGTCTCAGAAAATACCTCCAAGGGTCAGCCCCTACCCCCCAACCCCAGTCATTGTACACATTCCCTGGACCCCAGTGCCAATCAGTGGAGTAGAGTAGAATCAGAAGTGGGGACTCAGCTCACTTCAATTCCCAAAACAGGTGAAAAGGCAGACTTCCCTCCTGCTCATTTTGCCCCCAACACCACCAACCCCTAAACCCCCAACGACCCTCCCGCACTCTCTTTTTCTAGCCCCCAGTGATCTCCCCATCTCACTGTGGCTTCCAGATCTTCTGTCTTGTGGCGGAGATGGTCCAAGTTTTCTCCTCGGGCCAGGATCCGCTCCACATTCTGGGTCATAATATTCTTGACTCCCTCCACCTCACTCCGCAGGTTCCGCACATGATCATTTCCATCACCTCCACTGCCTTCCTCCTGGGCAGCAACACAGGGGTTAATTGGGCCAAGTGGTGGAGGAACTGATAGTCAGCCTCAGAGGCTAGAGGAGGGGAAGACTTAACATGGACTTTAGTGTTCTGTAAAGCTTGAACTGTTTACAAAGAGAATGTTTTCACGTCTCACTCATGTAATCAAAAATAAATGCATTTTTAAGCCCCAGAAGATGAGAGCTGTTGCTAGACAGACTAGCTCAAACTTCTTTTTGGGTTCTCAGGGTCCCTGACAAGGAAAAGAAGCACACCACTGAAACCCTCTCCCCTGCTTCTTTGCTCCTCGGAGAGGGTCAGAGCAGACAGCTGAGCTGGCATCTCACGATGCAAAACCCCACCACCATTTACCAATTCCCAGATCCCACAGGTTCCTTATTAAAAATGTCTGTGGGGCCAGCAGAATTCCCTCACCTAGCCCAACTCTCCCTCTTTCCAAGAAAGCAGCTGGAGAGCAGCTCTGCCTCGGGCCTCCTGGGCAGCCTAATTGCTGTGACCCAGACCAACAGCGACTAGGCTCCAAGTCCCTCACAAGGCCCCAAGAGAGAGAGCCGTTGGGCCACAAACTTCTGCTTTCCCCACCACCTAGCACCATGCGCAGGCACCACGCCACTGCTGCTGAAGCAGATATTAAATAAAAGCAGCAGCCTGGGCACTGGGGGAAATACAGGGCAAGTCTTCCCTGGCTGAGGCCTCATCCTCAGGCTTCATGATAAGGTTTTTAAAGAAGGAGGCAAAACGTTATTAAGCTCCTCCCTCTCTGACCCACAGGACCTCCAGAAACAGGCCAGGGGTGTGGGCCAAATTAGATTATCACAAAGAACCAATTTCTGGTTCTTTTACAAACCCTTAGCTCTCTTCCTCATGTTTATGGGGGGGAGCCAATTCCTTGGACTTGTGAAGAGACAAATTTTGGGAGTTTCTGTACAGGGATAAAGTGAAAGGCAGAGGGGAAGAGCTCCCGCCGCTGGGCTGGAATCTGCACTGGGAACAGCAGAGGCGCTGCCCAGGAGTGTCACAACAGCAGGCCGGTCGGCCGGCGGGCTGGAGGAGAAGATGAAGGAAGGGCCGCTCGCTCACCAACTCTCTGCCTGGAATTCGGATCCCCCACGCCCACCCACCGAAGCACTGCTCCAGGCCAGCACTGAGGTCAGGGGAGGGAGTATAGAAGGAGGAGGAACACCCGCCCGTGCAGCTCAGAGCTATTTGCAGCCAAGCTGTCTAAGAAGAGAGGCCACAGTCAGTGCTGGCCCAACCCTCTGACATTGCCACCAACTCTCCTTTCCCGATCCCCAGCCCCCAGCCCCCTCTGGCTCCTCTTTAAATCAGCCCCTTTCTAGTTCCCAGCTCACTCACCATGTCTCTGAGCAGCTGGGGCCCGTCAGCAGCAGAACTTGCCTAGTCTGTTTCCTCCTGGGGCGGCCCTTGGTTCACTTCCTGCTTGCTCCAACTTTCAGCCCGCCCCCGTCCACCTCTCATCCTGAGCCTGCTCCAGCCACACCTCACACAGGTTCCCCTAGGTAGGCGGACACCCTCCACTGCCCTTCTAGTCTCCTCCCAAACCAGGGCTTAGGCTTAAAGCAACAGGGCTCCCCGGCAACAAAGGTCTTTTAACTCGTCAGGAACAAGAGAAATCAAGCAGCCCTCCTAGGTTTCCTGAGGCTGGGCCTCCTGATATAGAAAGGGCAGCCATCTCCTTTTTTTATGTCCTGAATATCTGAGTCCAATTCTTAGAGACGGAAATCAACCATAAGCACCCTGCCAGGCCTAGTTCACATGGAAACAGAATGCAGATATGAACATTTTTTGCTGGACAACCCTTGTTCCCATGTCCATGGGTGGACAGAAAGCACTAAAACCCCCAAATGGAATGCTGTGATCCTGGGCTCTGGCATCAGAAAGCTCTGGGTTACTAGCTGCGTGACCCCAGTGAATCTCTTCACCTCTCTGGGGTTTTGCAGGTGCTGATGCTGACCTCAGAGGGTGGTGATGAGCAGTAAAAGGATAGCACATGTAATGTGCCTAGCACAGTGCCTGGACCGAAGGACTGTCCACTGTGCAAATTGGGAAATAATGGCTCCTTTCCTTCCAGAATTCAACAATCCTGCATTTCCCTTCAGGGGCCACCATGGGAGTTGGTGAGCCCAGTCAGAAATGGTCAGAGGACTGCCCTATAAACCAGAGAGGAGGCCCAGGGCAAAGGATTTTTCCACCAACCGGGCTCCAGGCCAGAGAAAATCCACTCTTCCTGGATGGTGTTTATCAAGACAGAAGAACAGTAACAGAGACATGCAGAAGGGAACAAACATTCCTGTCCCATCCCAGTTCCAAGGGGAAGATGTCAGCTTCCCTCACAAATTAGACATTTTTTAAAAGGTCTAATAAAATTAGATGATCATATTTTGCAGACCTGAATTTTGGTGGACAGTACCAGCTTGCTTTCACAGAGAATGTGGCTGCCCCAATCCTCACCATCCTTAGAAAGGCTACAACATGGCCAAGTGGCGGTAGGTCTGAATCCTTGATCTATCCTTGCACCGTCCAATACAGCAGCCACTGACCACATGTGGCTGTTGAGCACTTGAAATGTGGCTAGTCTGAATTGAGATGTGACGTAAGAGTAAAATACACAACCGTATTTCAAAGATTTATTATGTAAAAAAGAATGTAAATATCCCATTCATAATTTTACATGACTTGGTGAAATAATGTTTTGGATATATTGGGTTAAATTTAAAAAGTTGATAAAATTAATTTCACCTGTTTCTTTTCTCTTTTAATTTGGGTAGTAGAAAAATTTAAATTACAAATGTGACTCAAATTATATTTCTTTTCTTTTCTTTTTTTTTTTTTTTGTTGAGGAAGACTGGCCCTGAGCTAACATCTGTTGCCAATCTTCCTCGTTTTGCTAAGGAAGATTGGCCCTGAGCTAACATCCACGCCTATCTTGCTCTTTTCGTATGTGAGACGCCGCCACAGCACAGCTTGATGTGTGGTGCGTCGGTCTGCACCCAGGACTCGAACCTGTGAACCCTGGGCCACTGAAGCGGAGCATGCCAACTTAACCCCTATGCCACCTCGCCAGCCCCTCAAATTATATTTCTATACTTCTTTAGACACGCTGATCTGCCTTAATATTTCTGTGACCTTGGATGGACTTACGTAACACTCTAAGCCTCAGTTACCTCCCTGTCTGTGCCTGGCACTTAAAACACCCTCAGTAAATGGTGGCTGTTGTGATTACTATTATTAAGAATTCCAGATGCTAAGTGAGGTGGTGGATAGGGGAACATGAGAGGTACCAAGAACAAAGGACCAGAGTAGGAGGACTGAGGGGAACAGGAAGAAATGGAAGAGGAACCCCAGGGTGGGAATCTGGTTGAGGAGTTACTATGGTCTGACATGCAACTGCCAGCCTTGGACATACATTGGTGTCCCTGAGGGAGCTGACCCTTGGCCTAGACCCAGCAACCATCAGGGAGATTCCCAAGTGCCCACAGTTGGGCCTGCGACTTCTTCACCTTCATCTTCACCATGCAGAATCCCTGCAGGCTTGGCCTCACCTGCGCAAACATTATAATGTTACCCTTTGTCAGAAGACCATCTTGCTAACACCCTCACAAGGTAAGACATTCAGTGAGACACCGAACAACATTTCTGCTATGAGCAGAAACAGTCCTGTGGGCAGAGTACAAGAAGAGAAATGAAAGTCATTGATTCCTCTACAGTCAACGAAGGCTCTATCTCAGGAGAAATGGAGTGTCAGTAGTTGTAACGAAAAGATGCTAGGTGGTAGGAGTTGCAGCCAAAGAAGCCACCATAGCGTGATGGAGAGTGTTCTCAGTCCCTGTGTGATCAGAAGATCTGCTTATCAGCTCTATTACTCCCTGGCTGTGTGGTCTTGGGCAAGCCACTTCCCTCTGGGAGCTTCAGTTTCCCCATCTGCAAAATGGGAATAAGAATGAAAGAGGAGCAGGGGCTGGCCCGGTGGCATAGCGGTTAAGTGCACATGCTCTGCTGCGGCGGCCCGGGGTTCGGATCCCGGGCGCGCACCGACGCACCGCTTGTCTAAGCCATGCTGTGGCAGTGTCCTATGTAAAGTGGAGGAAGATGGGCACAGATGTTAGCTCAGGGCCAGTCTTCCTCAGGAAAAAAGAGGAGGATTGGCAGATGTTAGCTCAGGGCTGATCTTCCTCACAAAAAAAAAAAAAAAAGAATGAAAGGGGCTGGTGGCGTAGTGGTTAAGTTTGTGCACTCCACTTTGGCGGCCCGGGGTTTGCAGGTTCGAATCCCAGACATGGACCGATGCACCACTCATCAGGCCACGCTGTGGTGGCGTCCCACATACAAAATAGAGGAAGACGGGCACAGATGTTAGCTCAGAGCCAATCTTCCTCACCAAAAAAAAAAAAGAATGAAAGATGCTTTGCAAGGTTATTATTAGGATTAAATGATATAGGTGTATATTTCTATATTTCTGCTAAATCACTTTACAGATGAAAAAGGAGACTAATAGAGAAAATGGAATGAGAAAATAAGGGAAGAAGAAAATTAACAGCCTGCAAAGCAACCAGGCAAACTTTGGGGTACAGTGGTATACATCCCAGTCTTCTTATTTATGGCCCAAGTGGGCAGTTTACTCCTGTACCTCTCAGGGAAAAGGCTATAGAACAAGGAAAAGGCACATTCAGGAGGCTCAACTGGAATTGCTTCCTGAAGAATCATAACGCTCTCACCACTGCCAAGGCCTCTTTTATCTCCAAATCCCTCTTTGTAGACTGTCACACAACTGGCCACCCCATCTGTGACACAGTCACCCCGCATCTCTCCCAATGCGTTCTCTTCCTTTCTGACTGTGTTCTTAGAACCCAAAGGTTCTGCCCTTGGCCATCTTCTCTGCTGACTCCATACTCTCTCCTAGAGCAACTGTTCTCTACCAGGTTGATTTTGCCCTCAAGGGAACATTTGACAACGTCTGGAGACATTTTTGGTTGTCACAACTAGAGGAGTGTGCTACTGGCATCTAGTGGGTAGATGCCAAGGATGCTAAACTTCCTACAATGCAAAGGACAGCCCTCTCCACAACAGAGAATTATATAGACCAAAATTTCAATAGTGCCGAGGTTGAGAAACTCTGTCTCCATAGGGAAGTGCAACGCCTTTATGTTTGTAACACCTTTTTACGGACAATCCCCCAATCTGTTATCTCCAACCCTAACCTCTCAATTGCCATTGCTTCCTTTCCAATGCCCTGCACAGTCCATAGACACCTCCAACAGTCATCTTACACACGCAATGGGACATCACTAAGTCTTGATTCCATCTTGGTCATGTCACTCATATTCACCCCCTCCTTTCTACACCAGCTCCTGCTTCCTAGGTAATGCCAGCAGGATCTCTTCTCTGGACAATTCCATCCACCTCCAAACTGACCTTTCTGTTCCCATCCATTCCTCCTGGGGCTGCTTATTATCTTCCCAAAACACAGATTTGCATATGCTCCACCTTGCCCCCAGGGTAAAGCCCAAATTCCTTACCTTGGCATTCCAAGACTGTTCTTAACCTGCTTTTCAAAGCTTACCTACCATGAGACTCGCCTCCCAGCCCCTCAATCATATCAAATTACATGCCCTTCCCCAAACACACTATCCCTTTTTATATCTTTGCTCAAGTGGACCTTTCTCATGATGAGCGAATATCCTGTTTCACTCATCACAGCCTATGGAAAGTCTATTTATATTTAAGACATTGCTTCCTTGAAGGCTTTCAGATTTCCCCACTGAAGTTAACTTCCTCTTCTGATCTCCCTCACGTTTTATCTTTTATAGAATTCATAATATGCTTTGTCATTAACTGCACGCACATGTGACTCCTCTGAGACTCTACGTTCTGTGAAGGCAGGGGCTGTGTCTTTACTTTGGTACTCCTCATAGGAAATAACATATACCCTGCCCACAGTAGGCACTCACTAAATGTTTGGAGTATTGAATTGAGAGATCTGAAAGAGGGCTTCTTACTCCACAGTGCAGACAGAAAGATAATTTTTATTAGAAAAGACTCATGAAGAAATTTCCTAAGTTTTGGGTATTTTATTAATATTTTATCCATATTAAATTTTATGGATAAATGAATGCTAAATGCCACGAGTCTTTGTATATTGGTCCTGAAAGGATAAACTGGAGATCAACCCTTTGAACAAAAACAAGTTAAAATTATGGGATGGAGAGGTGCTGAGTTAGCACAGCTCACATATTAGCTGCATTTCTCTTACCCAGAATGCTCTCAGTTCACCCAACTTTTAAGAACTTTTGATTTCCCTCTCTCCTCTCAAAATCGTACTCATCCTTCAAAGCCCAGCTCACGTTATCAAAAAAATTTCCTGATTTCTCCAGTCCTAATTTATTTCTTCCTCAGTGCTCCCATAGCATTTTTTTTTTTTTAAAGATTTTATTTATTTATTTTTTCCCCCCAAAGCCCCAGTAGATAGTTGTGTGTCATAGC